CAAAAGGATGACAATGATCTTATAATTGGAAATCAAACCAGGGAACTTGTAAATTCTTTGAAAGATCATGAGAAAAAAGAATTTTTTCAATGTGTTAGAAACTACTTTTCCTCAGCCTGTGATTACATTGTAAGGAAGTTTCCTTTGCAAAATGAAGTTCTTTTAAATGAAGTGGCAAATTTGAAACAAATTGAAAATTCATCTTTTGAAAAGATTCGTTTTTTTTATTAATAAATTTCCATTTTTGTTAACAATTAAAGAAAATGAATGCCATAATGATGCTTTAGATGAACTACAGAACCAATTTTCTGCTACACAGTTTGAAGACTTTGCCAGTTCTGGAGAAGATAGACTTGATGTCCTCGTTGGTACCTTAAAAAGAATAAAAAGAGCTGATGGAACACCAAAATATGATAGACTAGGAAGAGTTTTATGTGCTATTCTCGTAATTCTACACAGTAATGCTGAGTGCGAGAGAGTCTTCAGTGTTGTGAAGAAAAACAAAACTATGTTTCGTTCTTCAATTTCACCAAAAACTCTAGAAAACATTTTAATTGCTAAATGTTATGAGGAAACTAATTGTTATGACAGGAAATTTTCCAAAGAATTTTTGGCTAAAGCCAAAAAATGCACTCTAAATTCATTGCAATAATTTTTTTTTTTTGTGTAACATTAAGTTCTTGTTTTAATGTTTCCTAATAAATTTTTTAGTTACTACTTAATTAAGATTTACTAATGTAAGTACAATTTTTTTTTTCTTTTTGTTATTTTGTATAATTGTTATTTTTTTAATATCAAAGCATGATATTAATTCTTCGTGTTCTGAATTTTGGAGAAATCTTCTGAATTTTTATCTTTAGAGGTTGGCAGGTATGGGAGGTTTTAGAACAAACAAAAATAAAAACTCAAACAAGTAAACATTTAAAAAGCGTTTTAAAATACAGAAGAACACTTGAAGCACATTACCACTGCCCTGCAGAAGTTTCACTTGAATGCGCTAGACGCGTTATAGACGGCGAAGAGGTTAAACAAGTTTTAATCATTCTAAAATGCCTGCTCCAGAACACTCCTCACCATGTTCCTTTTTCAATAATAAATTTCCATTTTATATCATGGGACGAAAAAAGTTTTTGTACAGATAGATGCTAAATACAATTCCAGATTTTTTGCAGCTCGAGATCAGCACATTTGAATGTCTTGGCATTGTCCAAGTATGTAATTGAGCATAGTTCGTGATGAGAAATAAATCTACGGAATCCAAGCATAAGCTTCTCTGTGATCATAGAAAAGGCAAATTCTAAATGTAAAGCTTGTGCAAGTAGTACAAGTAAATGAGAGTAGATAAAGTTTATCCTTTCTGCCTTTTTTGAAGAAAGGGCCAGCATAATTAAGTCTTGTCACAGAAAATTAAGGTAATTGCAGAACATGATCTGGTATTACAGAAGCAATTTCTTTACTGGCACTCACCTTATACAACTTGCATAAAAAGTACTTATTCAACATGGATTTAACAAATTCGTGTCTTTTTATGATCCAAAAGTTTGCTGTAATTTGGGCTAAAGTAACTTCAACACCAGCATGAAGCAGTTTAGTATGAGACTCTAAGATCATTAACTCACTACATCTATCTTTATAAGGTAATAGCCACAGATATTTTTCTCCAAAATCAAGATCATGAATTCTGCCTTTTAAATACAGAAGACCATGTATATCCCATGTATATGTTAATTGAATTGAGTTTGTTGAGTAAATTGTAGATCTCTTACCTAGGAGCTTTCCACTTGAAAGGTACAGAATCTCTTTCACAGAGTGCTTTCTCTGTGTAACTTTCACCCAGTAGAGTTCATCTTTCGAAATCTCGACAGAACTTAATGGACCTCTGAATTTTGTTTGATGTTGTTTATAAACCACATAACATAAGCTGTAATTCAACATACTTTTAACAGCCTGCTGAATCGAGTTAAATCCAATAACGTTGTAGTTTCTATGTCTTGAACCGAAACTTGAGGAGACAATTGCTCCCTTTTCTTTTTCCAAATGCTCTCCTCATTTATATCTCTCTGTTGGTTCATTGGTCAAACACTTTCAGTTCGAGAAAGCTAGCTGGTGCCTATGACTAAGGGGGACTCCTCACAAGATTAAAGGCACTTTTTCTGTGAGATAACAAATTGCAGAGTTTTCTTTCCCAATACAGAGAAATCACATTTCAGGATCAGTGAGTGACTGAATCTCAGAAACTCTGTTTGACACAAAGGGTTTCCAATTTGTGGTACATCCCTTTTATCCAGTTGATAGCTATTTGGTATCACTTCAAAGAAATGTTTGGTGCCATAATTCAGGAAATAAATTTGTCAAGTACTTAGACCATTTGGCAGCTACTAAAGCAGCCATCAATTCCAAACACGAAAGAGTCATAGTCTTGAGTGGAGCAATGCAACCCTTTATAGTGATGAAACTGATGCAAGTGTTATTTTTTGAATCAAGGTATCTAAAATATCTTACCGTGCCATATGCTTTTGGGCTAGGGTCAGAGAACACATGGAGATTAATTTAGGTTTTTGACAGTTACCAAAATATTTTCTTAGAAAAGAAAAGTCCTCAAGTGCCTTTAACTCGTCTTGCCAGTGAATCCAGTTTTTCTTTATTTCTGATGGAAGGATATTATCCCAGTTCACTCCTGATGTCCAAATTTTTTGTATTCAAAGTTTATATTCAAAGTTTTTTGTGACCACTCTGCAATATATCAAGAAATTGCTAAGAAGGATGTGAAATAAAATTGTGACTTTCCTGTACTGAAATATTATTTTTCAAAAAGCATATATAGATGTTCGGTTAGATTTTCTGGATATGGTAAAGTAAACAAGGGCTATCTGCCTAAGAGAAGGGATGTCTTTATGGAGATCCTTTTGAAGGAAACTGCCTCATATTCACATTATACATGTCTTAACCACCACTGGTTGGAGACATGTATAAAAATGTGACCAGTTTCTGTGTTGTAAATGAATACTTTCACAAGATTAAAAATCTGGAAATAAGGAAGTTGTTGAGTGTACACTCAAATCATGCAATTAAACTTTAAAAAAAAAATTGTATCTTAGTGATATCTATGTAATACAGTCAAAAGTCGTTAATCCGAACTCGTCGGGACTTCGATTTCGGATTATCGATTTTTCCGGATTATAGATCATCAGTTTAAATCTCGTAAGATGGCATGCAGAAATTCTAAAATTAAAAATATGAAACCGTAATTTATGAAATAAAGAACAATTATGATCTAAAGGGTATCAAAATTTGCAAAAAGAAAAAGCTTAATATTTATTTGTTTACTTTATTAAACATTTCTTTCAATGTAAGTTGTTTTAAGTTTTGCTTCGTTTCATGTGATAATACTTTCTCTTTAATTCTATTAAACAGACATAATTTCTTGTTCAGTTACAAAGTTCCGCTGTTCAAGTCCTATAATTGCTGTGTCAAGAACACCGACTAATTTGTCAATCGAAATTTTTTCGTTTTCAATAACCTCTGTCACTTTTCTTCGCTATCGGAAGCGAATTATAATGACGAGGAACTTGTTTTAAATCATATCAAAGACGGAGCATATCGAGATGAAATACTACATTTGGTAAGGAATTATAAGCCAAATAAAATTAAAAACATCTGCGCTGAAGATAAGGATAGTGCTGACAGATCAACTTCCAATTCATTACGCGCCCCGCCGCCGAGCAGCGTGAAATTGATAAACAGATTTCGGATTTCAAAACATACTTTCGCTTTAGATCCTTTACATATTAACAAATATATATCGGAAATTCTATTTGATATAATCGAAAGTTTAAGCTTACTTTTATAAAATTGCTCTTACAGTCTGCAAAAAATAATAAGCCGGATCCAATTCGAAAATTAAGGAACAACGCCAATCATCAACATTAACTGAAATAGATAATTATAGCTTATACGTCTATTATACATAAAACGCGCACGCGAAAACGTATTCTGCACTTGCGTGCGCAGTCGTGAAAGGTCTTACGCGCACGCGTAAACGCCTATGCGCATGTGTCAACGCGGCGCATGCGCAGAACGTTTTTAGTTTTGAAGTCCGGATTATAGATCATTCCGAATTATGGGTGTCCGAATCAACGACTTTTGACTGTATATGATTAAATGATTTTAATTTTTTACTGTTAGAAGCATTTGATTCTGCATACAATGAACTACTCTGCCCTTTTTATCCTCATATACTCTGTTAAGCCATGGTGTGTAACCTCTGTTCATACATAACCTTACATTTCATGATTTTGTATTTTCAGTTGCAACTAGGTATGTCTTCTCATCAGATTAAAAGATAACAGAAGGTACAAGTAACATTGCTTTTGCCATGACTAGTATTAAAAAGTAATTTCATTTCAGCTGATTGTTGTGTATCTAAACTTTTTTCATTTATACAGAAACAACAATCCATGCTTGGATGGGAACATTTTTTTAATAACTGTTTTCACGCTAAGAAAACAAAATCTTAGAGCATTACAATTTTTATAATCCTTATAAATTTACTCTATTTTGATATAATTATATATATATTATTATTATTATTTATTTTTATTGTTATTGTAACTGTTCCATAATGCCTTCCACATTTCTGTCCAAATGTGGTGAACTCCCAAATTTCTGAAATATGCCCTCCTAATAAAATGACTGTTCAACCCTGCTTTGCGTAGTAATTTAGAACAGTGGCTTTCAATGTAGATACTACATATTATATGTAAATACAGCATATTATGTGTTGTGTGCTTCTGCTATATCATTATACTTCTTTATTATTCTTTCAATCTAAATAATATAAAATGATTAAAATATTTAAATCAATTAAAGCAAAGAATTATGATAATTTGTAAAAATAATATTTATTTTTATAAATATTTTCTTAATTGGTAATAAACTTTCATACTGAAGAGTTATTCCTCTATATCCTTTTTAATACATAAATTTAAATTCTTATATAGATATCAATGGCAGATGCAGTTACAGAAATTGCTCAAGAACATGACTCGGAAAAGAAAAAGAAAATTCCTGTTTGTATCTTTTGTTATTAACTATTATTATTATTGTTACTATTATTATGGGATTTTTCCCATGTGCACCTGCCACGCTTTTTTTCACCTGTTAAAGAGAAACTCTATATTTTTTGTTTTTAGTTGTAAACAATTTCTAGTTATAAGGATAGTTTATAGATGGCAACATATTTATTTGTAGTTACAATTATTGGGTCTTGACATGTGTTTGGCTTCCCTTTCGCAGATACTGAAAAGCGTAGCAAGTGCATAAAGGGAAGGTAAACTTATTATGCATTGTGCTACAATCCTAGTCTCAAAAATAACTGCAATTTTTTATGGTTTAGTGCTTCATTTTTAATAACAAAATTTAATAATAATAATGTTATATGCATACAGGTTTGAGATAGATCGACTGTACGTAGAACCCACGAAAGCTTCATAAAATTAATTTTTCCAAAAACACCTTTACAGTACACACAAAAAAACTTGACTTGTGCATCTGTTGTTCTCAGTATGAGAAAGCAGGAGCATACCAATTATCTTCAGCTCCGTGATGCTAAATACTGATAGTCACCTTTCCTTTACCTTATATGTATTGAACCAAAATTACCACTCACTCCCCTACAGTTTGATGTTGAAATTTACGAGAAGCTCTTTAGACTTAGTACTGGTATGTATTTTTGAGACAAGCAATAGGTATACACATACAAAAAAATATTATTAAAATTTTTATTGCAGAATGAAACAACAGTAACAAAACAAAAAATACTGCTAAAGTTATGAAACATTGTTCCAAATTATTAAAAAATGAAAGATCAAATAAAATATATTTAGATTGCCCATGTTTTAAAATGGCTACACATGATGGAAAACAATGGAAATATCTTATAAAAGTTGGACTTTTCTAGCTTTACTTTTGGCAAATTTGTTAATAAAATTTTCAATATTTAAAAAGCCAGACTCTGTAGAAATGGTAGCAAGATTTTCTAACCACTCCTGTCCCATTCTAGATTGCAAGTAATTCTTAAATAATTTTAATTTAGAAAATGATCTCTCGGCTGTAGCTACAGAAATTAGTATTAGTCAGGAGTTCAATCAAGTAATGTAGAAAAATATTATTTCTTATATTATCACTTATTAATTGAATCGTTTCGTTTTGAATTTTGTCTGTGACAAATGTGGCACATCTTTTTGAGGTCTATTAATATATATAGATTTAATTCTGTTAAATTTTGCTATCATTACTAGGAAGTTACTATTGTTACTAGGACCTTTAAAAGCTACATTTTGTTCAGCCAGAAATTGAATTGTATATTCTTTCAGTGATACTGCACTAGTGTTTTGTTTTACTTTTAATAAATTTTGCATCTCATAATCTGTGATTGAGTGTTTAAACTTTCTAGTAAATCTGATCAGAAACGTAAATTTTGTAAATGAGATTTATTGTTTTCATGAATTTTCAAATATTTGCTTAAGTGATGCCAGTCGTTGAAACCATCTTGGTTACTTAATTTAGTATTTTTAAAGGTCAGTGGATTATTAATGTCGTTGAATATTTTACAATAAAAACAGAAAACTACATTTTTTTTTTAATAGAACATGGTAACCAATCTCACTGGACCTTTTCACCATTTGACAAAATTCAAGGGAAATATATATCAGAAAATTTAGTCCACTTTTGCCTTTAGTATACATACCTGTACTTTTATTTTGGTAATACATAAGACCTTTTTCAACTACTTCTTACACCTGGGTTGGAGATAATGGGCTTGGCCAAGGACCTGAATCATCAGAGAAGAGTGAACATGCATCTTCAGATGGTTTATCTTGCTCACTCGGAAATGATGGTACTGACTGAAATGTATCAGAACCTGAATCTATTCGATCCTCATTGGCTTGCTGTTCTAATTTTGATGTCGATAGAAATGGAAAGGCACTGTTATCAGTAGAAGTACTGTCTTAAAAATGTGTGAGCTACTGAAAACAGTTTATGACTTTTAAATTGCTCTTTTATAAATCTTCCCTAGACAATTTCTTTTCTTTCTTTTCTGGCCATGTAAATAAAATCACTGAAAATTAGGAAACACAATTTGTGTTATATGAAAAAATTATTAGAGAAAATTTAAAATCTTGTAATTACTGTAATGCCAAATTTCATTAAGTATTTATGGAAATTAAGCAAACTGAATGTATACTTAGAACTATGTAAGGTTTTTAAAGTTAAATAAAGCATTATTATAATTATTATTATACAAAGCTGAATTCACTTAATCACTTACTTAATTTTTTAATTGTTTTTCAAGATCTCTGTATTAAAAAATCAGAACTTACGAATACATATATTTAGTACACTGATACAGCTCATCTGCTCACAACATACCGACTAAACTTATACCGACTTTGAAATCATTTAAATAAACCCAAAATTTTGCAAGCTTAAACTTGAAAACTTTTGACCGAATGGCGAATGGTGTGCTTATCTACGGCCCTTAGAGGAAGAAGGGTAGTACAGTTCCACCACCAGTTGGTTATGGTTATTGGTACATAATAAAATTATCATAGACACCTCTAAGGCCTTGATGCCATTCTGCATTCCACGACCTTGCCCATATCGATGGCACATCTCTATGAGAGAACACAATCAATAATTACTACTTCAAATTACTAAGAACATTAAACACGAAGCAATACAAAAAGCCTTTTCCAGTATCATCAGTTTCTCGAAATCATTGGAAGGTGTACACAATTACAGTTTCTTAAGTATAGGACCCAAACGTTCCCAAATGGTCATCAAGTTTGGCGATTTTAGGCTTTTTTTTTAGCCAAATCTGTTGACAAAAATTAGTCGCCAAAACCATTGCCAGCTTGGGATAGCTATTTACCTCAATATTAAACGGACTCTGTAACCCTGTTTTTCTGGTGGTGCTTTGCATTCTTGAGGTCTTTTATATTATATTATGCAAGAGATCTAAAATTATTTTTATATGTAGAAAATTCATAACAATATTTTAGTGCTTTCCTCTTTCTCTTTTTCTTTCTTTTTCATTACATGTATGGTTAATGCTTTTTCCACAGGTGAGGAATTGCAGCTCACATGTATTTTATCCATTAAAATCACGAAAGTAGTCTATCATTTTTCTCCTGATATAAAAGCTGATGTTTATCAATCATGTTTTTAAGGTTAGTAACATGAGCCTTTCAAATCAATATGCGTTATGCAATAGATATATAAGGTGTGACACAAAAAAGAGACTGGTCCAATAAATCATTGTACTTACAGAATCAGTTCTATGTGGCATTATCACCTTCAAAGTAGTTCCTTGAGCTTTCGAGCTGGTAACAGTTATGGAACAAGGTTTTTGAAAGGCTGTTCAGGAGATTCTCCGTTTCTGCCTGAATCTCTTCAGCTGAGGTTAAATCGGTTCCCTTTAAGTAAGATTTAACTTTAGGAAATAAGAAAAGCTCATATGGAGACAAATCAGGTGAATAAGGAGGATGCCCCATCACAATAATGTTTTTCCTGGACGGTTATTCTACGCTACGAGAGTCGACAGCAAGTTGTGGGCCGCCAGATGTCGCTGCTAGTAAAAAACAGGTCTGCCCGACATCCTATATTCTCTGAGTACGGAAGTTGTCGAAAGCGCGTGAAAAAGTGTTGCCGCGTCGTCAATCAGGGTGGTTGTGCAGTTGACGTACTAAGTAGACAATGGCTTTGTATGTGTTTTCGCCGCTGATTTTTTCATATTTAAATGAAGAATACGGTCGTAGATCTCTGAATCGGTGGCGAATTTATAGAAAATATGTTGATGCTTTTGCTCTGCCAAAAGATGTTTTCATTGCATATTTCAGATTGTCAAAATTTATAGTTATTTTAATTTGCGATGAACTGAGAAAGTATTTGCAGCCACATTCAGAAAACAAGAACGCAATTTCTACTGAAAGAAAGGTTATTATACTGTTCCTGAAATTATAGATATAAATTGTAATTGTATGCTTTAAAAATGTAGAAGATAATAAGTTTATCAAGCACACAAACCTTCTTCATTTAATACAAATATAGACATCCGATAAGCTTCTTGTACAGCAAGAATTACGTTTACTTTAAAATCTAGCAGTTGAATACCTTACGAATAATACTGTGACCACAAAAAGGAATGTCGTTCATTACGCGAAATTCACACTACTGTAAAATAAAAATAAAATAAAAAAAATTATAAAACTATAAAATAGCTTTAAAATATTTTTTTCAGTAGCTGTACTACTACTAGTGTGATACTTTTAATAATACGTTTTAGCACAGAGGGCCTATTAATTTCGTTTTGCCATTTTCTGGCGCTTCACTTTTCAAATCGTTGCCACCAAGTATTATCGCACTCTATTATATTTAAAGAAATTAAATAATGAGGAATCTGCAGAATGTATGAATGTTTCTGGCACTGTGATAAAACAACGATACCTAGAGCCATGAAATGCTGAATAACATAATCCTCCATCCTAATGTAGGCATCTGGAGGCCCATATTTGGAACTGGGAATTTGTTTTATTATCTATTTCATATTTTGTAAAGCATTTATGAGTTTTTGATTAAGAAACCCAACGATTTCAAAGCGAGCAATGCCAACATTGTACAGGAAAAAAAAAGAGGAAAAAAAGCATTTTCATCTCTAGCGCGAGACTATGTATTGGAAATTCTAAAGATATGCTTTTTTAAAATTATATGATATTGCTGGTGAATTGAATTTTATGGTTTAAGTGCGAAAAACATGATATTTAATAAATAAAGGTAACACACAAAAAGTTAAAAAATGGACCTTAATATAAAATCTGAAGTAATATAAATATAATATTCAGTAATATAAAATCTGAAGACTTTCAGATTTTTTTTTTTTTTTTGGGTGTGTGTGTGTGTCTGTGTGTATAAATTTTATTATGTTTAAAACTGGTTCCTAAGTGAGGACTTTCTAAGGGAAACTGGCTCCTATACACGTTACACATGGGGAAAGCCACGAAAACGCCGG